AATTTCACTGGCTAAAAAACAATGTCACCAGTTTTTAAACCGGTGTCTAAAAAAATTTCTCACGGCCTCTTTTTCTATTTCTTTTTCATGATTCAAAATAGGCCGCACTCCTGTACAGCATCACTTTCTTAGAAAATGGATGTTACGTCATCTGGCGCCACGCGGTCGGCCACCGCCCTGAAGGGTTTTCGACAGATTCAAGAGAGTCGACCTCCCCCGGTTTTCCTAGAAAGGAGCCGCCCCACGCGGGTGGTGCTCTTCGCCCACCGACCTGCAATCTCGTCCAGCGTGTTGGCTCTCATGTCCAGCAGGACCGTGCCGTTCATGATGCAGCTCCGCAGCTCGAACAAGCTGTGCAGGGACAGCGTGGCCACGTACGGCTTGCTCCACCTCTCCCCGCCGTCCTCCACGTCCTCCTCGAATTTCAGCCACCTGCAGCCGGAAGGAAGCGATTAGGAGACTGTTCGTGTCTCGCCAGCTGTCCCTGTACTGCTGTCTCTCCAGACAGGGGGAGATGGCCCTTGCCTTCGGATCTGGCGCGCCTTAAAGAAGGAGAACACCTCTCCTTGGTAGATGCACATTACACCTCTCTCCCCGCAAGCAAACAGCCGCATAAACCAAGGGAGAAGTCTGCAACCGGAATTTCAGAATCACCTTCCGTGCCTATAGCCTCTATGAAGCTTGCTCTGAAGGGCTCATTTAATGACCAAAACACAGTTGAGAATTACGTGGCACAATAGCAGTTCATCCCACGCTGTTCGGTGCTAGGGGTGGAAAGATTAACACTACCGCCCAAGACTACTGCATACTTATTTCTTTGTTGTGCGTGTTGTGTTGTGTTTCTTTGTTAGCCCTATACAATTTCTTGCATTAGGAATTCGTCTTTTCGCATACCCCAGCTTTTCTCCATGGAGACACAGACACACAGACAGGGAGAGAAGCTGGGGGTCAGAGCGCAGGGTCTGCCATTGTACGGCGCCCCTGGAGCAGTTAGGGTTAAGGGCCTTGCTCAGGGGCCCAACGGAGTAGGATTCCTCTGCCGGCCGCGGGATTTGAACCGGCAACCTTCCAGTCACAGACGCAGATCCTGAGCCACAGAGCCACCACTCTGCCCGTTGTTCATCCGAATAAGGACCCACTTACACCCGAGACTCTAAAACATAATGGGACTTAAATGTGAAAACAGAAAAGAAGTCTCTGACCTGGCTGTCTCTTTCCACTCTGTGGCATGACCGTCTCTGAACGACAGCTCATCCAACTCGGTGAAAAGGTCGTGGGGAATGTGCTCTTCATCGTCGTCTTCTGTGCCCAAGATGAACTGGACTCTCTGGGAGGGGGTGTCTGGGAGGTGAAAGTCAGAATCACAAACACTTAGACAACTGCACCAGCATTCACATACAGAAACGAGTAGCCCTTCTAAAACCAGCCCTGCCTGAGGAGCAAAGAGTTGCAAGAACAGACGAGACATCCGTGACCACCCATGCCATTTTGTTTTGAGTAGCGCGTGTTATAAATGCAAACCGTTATATCAACTGCTGGCATTTGTATACTGCTTTTAATCCCCAGGGATCTACTTCATCCACCTTATAGGAGGGGACCTACATCATCCACCACCAGAGTGCAGCACCCCTCTGAGCCACCAGCACTGCTACACAGCAGACCAAGAAGAGAAGGAAGGAATGACAACAGCTGAATTAAAAGGACATGTAGGTAAAAGCTTACTATACAGGACCAAAGCAGAATTTAGACAGGAAAGTACTGAGGACCCCAAGTTTAAGGTCTGCTTAAAAAAAATAAAGGCACCTTCTACAGCACTGTTTCCGGGGATCTTACTAGGGAACTGGTTTGGGCATTCTGGATCAGAGTGCCGCCTACTGGTCCAATAACAGCACCTGTATCAGCCCCCTGGTTCATCTTGTAGGTGCTCCATCCCAGTATCATCTGGAATCTGACAAGATCAGGCTATGGGGTGGAAACACTGCTGGTTGAGGCTTTGTGCCCTAGCTGTACTGCACTCTCTGACAGGGTGGCTATAATTGACTTTTTCCATTGGGGAAAAAAAAAATATTCTCTGAACAAAATGCAAGTGACACAGCATTTCTCTTACAGTTTCAAACATGCCTCACCGTCTCGGTCTACGTTTTGCTGATGTATAATTAGAACTACTACTAAAGAGGCCTAGCCAAGAGCACAGGAATGCGTGTAAGCAGATAGCTGTCAACAGAGAAACCCCACACCACCCAGAAGAGAATGTGCCCATCTCCACAGCGGATGGAAAGAAAGCAAGAGGTGTCACAACATCCTTAAGCTTCTGGGAGTTTTTCTTCTGGGAAAGCCAGAATAAAACTGTGACCCCACCCGATAATCCCTTCCCATCCTTTCAGAACGTTACGGCTTTCTATTCAAAGGATACCTTTGACTTTTCAAGCCTCGTATCGCAACAAAGGTGCCGGACGGGGTAAGAACTAATGCGATTTTTTCCTTTTTCCGTTTAAAGAAAAATTATAAAGCATTTTTATACAGCTTTTTGATCTTAATTTACTTCCAACGCCAATACACGTTTGATGCTGTGGATGTTCTAATGGCTGTATTGGAGTTTTGGCTTTTAGTTTTTCATTCAATGTTTCGTTTTTGTTTTTTCCTGTACCTTCTATGCGTTTCCTTTATAGGCCACACTGAGATAATTTCACCAAGAAAGAAGCTTAAATTAAAGAGATATCCTCGATACCATACAGCCCTATTTCTTACTTGCAGAACCATACCAGCCATTTGTTTGTGGCTAGCACCACCTCAAACCATTCAGATGGAAATTTTAGGACGGGATGAACCATTCCAAAACAGGCATGATGTTAATAAAATGACAGATTTTGAAAACATGGAATTCAGTGTTCAGTTTTAAACGAACTGCCCTGGCATACCATGAATAAAAGCACAACAGTGAACCGACAGGATGCGTCAAAATGACCTCCTCGCTGATTTTTTTTTTTTTCCCCTGTTGTGGCCGTTTTTCCTCTATCTGGGTCTTAAATAACCCCCCCCAACGGATGTCAGGAGCTCAGACAAAGCCCGGGTCTCAGACTTCGCTCTTACAGGTGGATCAAACAAGACGGCGACAGAAGAGGCCTCGGTAACTCACGACACAAAAGCGTCAAAAGAGTTGAAAAAAAAAAAACAAAGGAATTTCAGAGAGGTGGCGGGCGGCGGGTGGTTCGCGGTGAACTTCAGGCGGGAACGAGACGCAGGGGGCTTAATGTAATCCCCTCGGCGCTCTTAAAAGATGACCGCGCCTGACCCCTTTCACTTAAAACCCGAGCCCCTTCTCCCCGGCCACTGGAAGAGGAAGAGGAGGAGCGGGACGGAGCAACAGTACCGTACGTCGGCGACTCCCGGCCATCCTCGCGGTCCGAGCCCCGGTCCTTCCTCCTGCGGTGGTGCCGGTGCCCGCGGTGCCGGTGTCGGCGCCGGCTCTGGCGGCCCAGGGGCACGTGGACGCCGATGTACACCGCCCTGTGGCCTGCGGGGACAGAGAGGAGAGCGTCCCGGTCAGGCCACCCGTGAGGTCTGACCGCTGCAACACCGAGGTCCCAAAAAGGGCCCTTTCCTGTTCATGCGCTCGGGGATATTTCGGGCTTCCTGCAAAGAACCCAATTAAACCTTCTTTCACGTCCAAACCTGGCTTGAAGAACTCGAGTTTGATATTCCGGAATATTCCGCCTCCTGCCGCCGTCGAAGTGACCTGCCATGGTGATGGCTTTCCAACGGGCTTAAAAATCCCGGTGAACTGCACAAATAGCCTTGATATTCCACAGTTCGGATACACTGCTAGGAAGGGGCTTGGCACTGCACGTCCTAACCGGTTTCTCTGTGATTAACGGAGGGGAAAGACGGTTTAAATGACACAAGACGGGTCACGATCTGTTGCTCGGCGCGCGCTGCACCTCGACTCCACCTCGCGGGTTCTCACAATCCCAGGAACCCCTCGCTGAAGCCAAAAGGGTGGTCACCTGCGCCTCGAGAGCTCTCCTGGCTGCTGCCGCCAAAAGCACAGGAAACGGGCGAGGCCAGCGATAGGGACACCCTTGCTGCTGTACAGCCTGTATATCCTCCACACGCCACTACCCCACTGCACGCAACAGCCCACAGCCCACAGCTTCACCCCTGGCACTGCTGATGTCACCAAACCTCCCCTTCCTGCACGGGCCTCAAATAACACCAAGACGCACTGGAAGTGAGCGGGGGAAAAAAGGCAACCAACTTGTCAAGATGGGGGTTACTGTAGTTTACTTCTACAGAGTGCTAATCTACACGCGCACACACACACACTGGTCCCAATTGCCGGGCAGCTAAAGTTCTGGGTATCAACAAGTAACTGTTTGGAAAGCTAAAGTCAACAAAAAGGCAAGCATACTTGTGGGTCTAAACATCTACAGGAATGGACAAAACGGCGGGTAATTCACGCAGGTCAGGGGAGGCCTCTCCTTGCATGTAAGAAGCAGCTGGTTTGGTTTATCCACAGCACAATGGGTCTCCTCTACTTTACCAACAGCCAGCTTCCCTATCTGAAGTGCATATTTGTTTCGATATGACTCACCACTGCTGAGCGAGAGGATTAGGAAGAATACCTTCTGTCTGAAGCCACCTCTCATTTGACTGCCATCCCTCGGTTGATAAAGACCAACCACTGCAGCACCACCATGTACTTAAACACTGTGATGCTGCGAACGCAGAGGGAGAGAGACTCCAATGAAAACACGGGGTCTCCAGATTCAGCACAGGCATGACTAATCACTGCCTCTACCGCAAGGGAATCAAACCACACAGTCCTGGCCGCGCAGAAAACGGAAGGCCTGTGTATTAATACGGGAAATTCAGTCACTTCTCCATTTGAACATACAGAAAATATAACCAGAGGAAGAGCACGCCAGACGAAAAGGTCAGCCTGCGGATTGCACTCGCGCCCTGTGCACAGAGCAGAAGCCTTTAAGCACCTTTTAGTAGCACCGGCACCGTGGCAATGCAGTAGTGCTGGCTTTGGTGGTGCAGCTCTATGGTACATTTTAGAACTTCATCTCTTTTCCCACAGCAAAGCAGAGCGTAACATGGCGAGGCGAGTTCACTGCAGGAAAACGTCGGATCTAGTGAAGCCCTTTCAGCGTCTGTCTTTGGAACACATCACTTTCGAGCTTTAGATTTTGTAGATCACGTGCTGTACGCGAATGGTCAAAAGCCTAGTCATTAGTAAGGGACGCACAGAACATCTGCTCTCAAGGAGACGAGCTGCCCTCTTCAGAAAGTTGTAGCATTGGGTTCAGTTTCCTTGTAAGGGACAAGAATAGGGTAAGGATTCACAAATTAGTAAAGTTCACAAAAAACCTTTCGGCCAACTCGGCGAGATTAAGATTGTGAAGGAATGCATTTTCCCCCGTTATGTATCAGGTTATAATAACTGCGACGCCTCAAAACAAATCTCATTAACTTCCAAAGATTTTGCCCCTTTGTTCACCAAGTGGTACCCCTTCAGCTCAGACCAACAGCCCTGTTCGAAAGGATCTTAAAATCAGTTTCAATCCCCTAATTAAAGCAAGATCAGGATCTGATCGTTAAACTTAAATCTGTTCCCATCTCATAAAATCCCAAAGTCAAAACGTTATTACCAAAATCTTATAAAGAAAGAAAAAAAAACGGTATACGTCAGATTGACAAGCACAGAGCATTTATTTCTAATTAAAGCAGCTCAGTGTCCATGATGAAGACAGGAGCACTGCATGTCAATTCTTGGCTTCTCTTAAGCAATCTACCCAACCAGTATGGTTATAGCCTCTGCTTCATTGAAACTGTACCTCTTGCTCTGTTGAAATGTTTATCTCCCTTATTAGTTTTCCTATTGGCCTTCAGTTCCAACACCACCCTCACCCAATTACTGCTCTTTCATTTAACCGTTTTTAATACTTGGGATACAGCCAGTTTCCATTAACACAGGCATGGAAAACCAATCTGCTGGTTTGAAGTAATTAAGATGTACTTCACCAGAGCAGATGACCCAGTTTTCTTAGACTGGATGCCTTCAACACGCATGTGATGAGCAGTCCTGCCTCCTATGCAGTGGGGACCCATTTATAACATTAGAGCCTTGACTATAAATCCTTTTAGAGCTACTGGCTTCAGCCTTGCGGCTCTAAAAGGCATCTCAAACGAAAGAACAACACAGGCGTCTGTGTCCGTTTCCTTGAACGGACAGAAGCTCTTCCCAGCACACAAAAGTAAAGCACTCGGCGAGGCACTTTGAACACCAGAGACGGCTCTAAGAGAGTGGAACGCAAGATCTGAAAAACTATCAGCTGAAAAACAAGAAGTAATGGCCATGCCTAGCAAGAAGGCTTAATCCATGACGAATCTGTAAAGGGCTGATTCAAGCAGGAATAAATATTTAATCCTGTACAGATGCACTGTAAGGATTCAGGTTTTAACTCTAGAGGGTCCAGTAATCAAGATGATCTAGTTTTAAGAGGAAGCTGCCGCAGAAGAAAACGAACAGGAACCCTTCTCAGCTCTTCCTATGCCACTTCTTCTGCAGGTTTAATCAGGAACCCCGGGCACTTTCAGAGTAAACCATTTTGCCCATTTCTTTTCTACTGCCAGTCCCAGTGCTGCTCATATTCGTATTTGAGTTCCCAAAGCAATAAGGCCATTTAATCTTTTACCAGAAAGATGGATATCTCGTGTAGAGACAGAGATGTTGACGGATAAAATGAAACCAAAAAAGTGCCCTGCAATATTCTGACGCAAGACGGAATGTCCCTTTCGATCATGCCTGGGTTTAAACTAGAAATCTCACCTCACTCATTGAAACCACATTCATTAGATCACTGGCATGATATGCGATACAGAAAAACACTGAGCACTGCAGAACCTCACAGCAGAAGAATGACTGATTTTACTATTACTCACTTGTACATAAAAACAAAAGAGCACAAAATGATCATTTCCACACACCTGCATGTATGTATGTAAAAGTAATGTTTTAAGCACAAAACGGTGCATATTTAATTAAAACCAAACCATATAAAACTGTAGATGTAACTGCTTGGAAAGAAAAGGGCCACTAGGCAAAACTGTGATAATTAGGAACCTCCTTGTGACTTTACCATCCAACAGTTCTTACTTACATCCCTCAATTGACATCTAGGTATTCCCAATGTCATCAGTCAGAGAAGTCGAATGACCTTCTCTCCTCGTGTCTCATCTTTAGAGGGTCAGTGTTGATTGCAGATGAAAAGAATAAAATACACTGTCTATACTCCTCAGACGTCACAGAATGCCATAAAACACAAACCTCAGCACATCCTAGAGGAACAAGGACTACTTCAGTGGTCAGTGTTCCTGTGCCACATATTGAACTCCTTTTCTTTATCCTTTGTTTCAGCACTGTTCCCATCCAACAGCATTGATATGGTTCAATACAGACTTAGACAAGTTCACCTTTAAGTGGCTGGCCAAGAGAACTCGGGCTTATCAGGTTTGATGCAATTCACAAAGTTTTTAAAAAGGCTTATTTACCCGGTACTGTAGCTGAATCCAAAACTAAAAGCACCTGAACTAAAATCCAAAGCACTCTTCAGGAATCAGATAAGGCTGCTGATCTTCATACTGGCTAATTGTCTTCATTCTGCTGCTCTAGTGTCAAAGCTCTCCTTTATACGATACTGACATATCTATGCATGTTAGCCGACTTGACACACTGACAGCAGTGTGGAATGTACTGCTGTAAAAACGATTATTTTCAGGCCAATTTTCTATAGCTGGAAACAAAACAAAAAAGATGTCTTATAGGGCCAGAAGGCAAATGCTCATAACCATGTGCTCATAATAACCAAGATTAAAACCTAATGTATTTTTTTTTCCTATTAATAGCCAACATCTCTTTTATACCTCTGTAAAAGAGGCCGAATGTCATGGAATAACCAAGTCAACCAATCTATAAAATGATTTACAAATTCTAGATTTACAAACATTCATGTAAAGCAGAAAAAAAAGGTTGTAAAAAGACGTCAGGAGAACGGTGCGGTACTGTCACATAGCCGGACGCCCTTTCGAGTTCCAGGAAATGAGCAACAGGCCTATATTCTTTGCTATTTTAGTCAGAAGTGGAATTTCAACAGCAGCTCCAGTGAACTTGAACAAAAAAACAAAAACACTTACTTTCTAGCTCTTCCTTCTCAAAGTTTGTGTTGATTGTGGAGCTGGTTTTACCAAGATCCACAACGGCTTCCTCATCATGACCCTGAATGAGAGAAACGGGGAAAACAGGCTATGAAAATCAAAAAGGACAGCGCTCGCAGAAGAGTGGAGACAAAAACAGCTGGAGGGCAAAAGAAAAACAGAGGCATATATTGACTTATACAACCGTTAAGCTCTGGCCAGCGCAACTACAGTATTTACGTCCACTTGCTCAATTTTAATTACTAACTCGAGCAAAAGCTTACTTGCTCGTTTGAGCTGGCATCCCTGGAATTAAACCGAGTGCCAAGGGACAAGAATGGATTACAGTTTCAGTACAGATGCAAGCCAAACGCCCAAATCATCTCCCTCTTAACTTTACCCGACCTACATACAAGAGCAGGATAAGTGTGCCCAAATCCTCTTTAAGAGGTGTCAGTTTCAGACCTCCGATCAGCCTTGCCAGCACGGCGGCATTCATCCCAAAGAAAGGTAAGACGTTCCTGGCTGTGCTTTTCACTTACCGAGTGGCAACAACCCTCCAAATAAATGACCCAATCATGACCCCCCCCCAGAAAAAGTGAGCGCCTAAAAATGGTTACTTTCAACAAAGAGCTATAAATCACTATATTCCAGACACACCAAGATTCCTCTATCACTTGATCGTTTTCTTTCAAAATCTTTCCCATTTTGGTTAATGCCAAAACCCTCAGAAAGTCACCAAGTCAACCTCTGTATTTGCATGGGAAACAAAGGAGAGAGGGATTTAGCCAGGACACCAGGATCAACACTTCTTTTCCTCCCAAAAGGGTCATAAGATCTTTAACAGCCCAGTAGTTTAACCCAAGTTATAACTGACATCTCATCTAAAGAATGGCACCTCCTTTGGTACAGTGTCCTCGGTCAACATGTCAGGACTTGGGTCAGGAAATTCTGCTCCAGTTGGAAAAGTGCCAACTACTGGTCCGCCAGCCGTACTGGTCTCCCCTCCCAGTACGGACCAGGCCTCTCATCACGGACAAGATCAGGCTAAAAGCTGGCAACGCAGATGACAAACGACGTCGCCTACGACAGCACCGAACAAGCTTAAAAGAAGGCAAAGAAATCAAAAGAGAAAATGTGAACAGAGCTCACAGTGATGCTGAAGATGCCTGCGTTATTTCCCATCTTCCAAGAATTTCCAAGAGGATCTAAAAATCACCACAGGTGACAGCTCCCCACACAGATTCGATGACGTTTGCACATAGTTTATCACTTAGAAAGCCCACCATCTCCCATTAATGCGACGCTGACGCACACAAGCAGGTCTGGAATCCCAGGAAGGAGTTCAAGTATGCCTCAACGGAAAAATAAAGGAATTTAGCGTCATCCTAGTGTGGGTAACACTGCCGTGTGGATAAAGCACAGCAAACCGGGATTAAAAAAAAAAAGGAAAAGATAAATCAGGCTGAGTTTTTCTTTCTTTCTCCACACCTACTTCTGCAGGTGGTAGAGGAGATGATTAATCAACTACAGCTCGCACCTGTGCCAAGAAACAGAACTTCTGGGTTCAGCAGAGATCACAAGAAGGGCTAGAAGGCCTCAGATTAACTACTATAAGGGATATTATACCCCCAGCAACAAGTACGTAAACAGCTTGGCAAATCTGGCTAACTTGAGAGATCACAGACGTTCAGGCTTGGACTGGGTCATGTCAACTCGTCTGAGAGCAGAAGCTATCGCACATCAGAACTGACAATGGACAGAGAGTACAAACACCGAAATAGAACAGCACACACCTTTTCCCCTTCCGTGAATAATGACTTCTTTCGGTACGAGCAGGAATCGGTATCCTTTGGAATTGTGAGATAAAAATGCTTAAAACTGTGCATTTTATGAAAGTGTGGGAAAAGCAAAAAATGATCAGGTATTCCAAAACTGTACAGGTACCGTCAAGACCCACTGATCACTACCTTTTTTTAACAATAGCTTTATTGTTTTGTTAAGATACAAGAATTTGCATACATAAAACAATACGATAATTATACCCCCGAATATACTCATCCCTCCCATATTTCTTTCTCTGGGACTAAAAGTATCATCAGTTTATAGCTAATGTACTAGTTACTCTCATTTTTACCTTGGATAGTACTACTTAACTTCACAAGGCCTTTCTCTATCTCTGTGCCTTGCTTCAGTGATTCTGTACAAGAACTTCTGTCGCTTCAATGCGCTATGAATTTCCCACTTGACAAAAGCACAGTGCATCAAGTCTTCACTGGACCAGATCCAGTTACAGTCCGTATACTTTTTGTTTTTTTAATAAGCTGGCTGGATACTCAAAATTCAAGGAAAATGCTGCCAGTATTTGTAGGATGACAAACAGGAAGGTGATGAAGCAAAGATAGACCTGTGCCGAGATAAATATGTGAGCGATTCACCGTCAAGTGAAAAGGTCCCTCTGCATGCGTAAACAGATGTAAATGCCAAGGAAGAAGGCAGATTGCAAATGTCTATTTCTACAGGACTGTGTTACCGTGTGGATACGACGTAATGCAGCCTCTTACAAAGCAATCCAATCTGGTTTGTTCTCCACTGAAAAGCCGTTACAGCTCCTACCGAGGCCCTCTGCACACTGGACACGCTGTCGGAAACATTGCTTGCCAAGTCTGATGCTCACTGGCTGTATTAAACCGCACCGGTAATATTCAAAACAGCGTGACCTCTAGAACGAACAGATGTCATAAAGCTGATGAAGAATGTCAAAATGCAGTTGGTTCAAAATAAAAAAAATGAGATTACACACTACTAGTTCTACAATTTAGGTTAAAGCATATGTATATAATTATGTATATGCTATATGCATAGGGTAAGAAGCATATTCCAGATTTCTCACTTGCTCTTCTGAATGCATTACCCTCTACTCTCTGGAGCCAGAAAAGCCATACAGTACCTTCATATACTTCCAGTCTACTAACGTGAGCTTTTCAGGACCCCTGATTGCTCTTGGTAGTCCTTTGATGTCGCTTTTGTGCTTTTTTCCCCACATCATACTGGGTGGTATTTTTTACGGAAAAGGCAAATTCTTATCTATGACCTTTATTATCTGAAACATTTTTACAAGTGCACATTTTACTTTAACAATGCCACACTGATGAAGGCGGTAGCTTTGAAATTCCAAACCTAACTACATGGGATGAATGGCTAACTCTAGCAACCTTCAGTTGTAAACTGTGCTCTTCCAGTTTTATAAGAACTATTTTTCCCCATCTAGTGTCCCTGCAGAAGGAATTGGACAGATTTTAGTATAGACCTTTCCTCTATTTCTTTAAAAACATTAACAGCTGTATACAGGAATGGCAAACCAATTTCCAGTCTCATGACAGTTAATTAGCAAAAGATGTTAAATGGACTCAGACACAGAAAAATAAATGTATAAATGGGTCTACTTAAAAGATAATGCAGAGTTAAGAAATCTGGGGAATTATTCTCTTAACCTCTAACCTCTGGCAATAGTTCACTGTCTTTCAATGTAAACATTAATTTTTCAAATCGCCCGGTACCTCGATCTTGTGCTCGTGATGGCTATGGGGAATAGCACAAAAAAACAATGCGCCTGAACTGTGCCAACCGTGCACCAAGACTAACGCTATAGGCCAATTTCATCTGCCAAAAAGTAGATGGAATGAAAATTTGGCTAAAGTGCCAATTACAGTCATCCCCCGGTTTGCAAAGTTTCTCTGCAGCAAAGCCAGCAAACAACAGGACCTCTCCGCAGGCAGAGAACTGGCCGCACGCAGAGGAGTCTGTGTTGAGGCTGCGATTCAAGAAAGAAACTCAGATTCGCCAAACTTTGTCGAACCTTTAATGGACGACATTTTAAGGATATTCTTTTCGGAAATGCTCACGGCAGGAGAGTAGGAGACAGTCTGCACCGCCCGGCGTCACTGACAGACGTGCTCATCCCCCAAAAAACAAATTTTCCTATTCCGGTTGCTGGGAGGAAAGTGTCTCCTACATGGATCCTGCCGTTAGCGGCCTTGTGGTTGACGTGCAGTGTCATAGGACGAGGAAACATCTCAACTGCTAAGAGCAAGAGTGGGCAGGCAGCAGCACAGTCAGCTAGAGCTCCCTGGCCCTCTCTCTAATCCACCGCCCAGTGGTGCTGGAGAGATCCGCTCCAGCCTGGCCTCGGCTTGTAACCTCACAGCGTCCCTCCCAACCCTGGAGAGAGAGTACATCCACCGTTACTGCGCCCATCCAACCCTGCAGTCTGTCACGCCAGCTGTAATGTCCAGTCGTATAAAAAAAACTCTTAAGCTTAAGGTTGGACTCGGAAACAAATGAAACCTTTTTCTTGACCGTTTGAATTAAGCCTCTTTTTTCAACCACAAACTATAATAACATTAAATGTAAGTAAGCAATACAGTTGCACACAATTTTCATCAACTGAATTTTCTCTATCAGCAGCAGCGTAAAACTCTCTAGCTGTTTCCATGGCGTGGAGACTACTTTTTAATACCATTTTTACTTTCTGATGGAAGCCGTTTTGGACCCAGTCCTCGATCCAATTATTTTATCCCGTTTCTCGAAAGAAACTAGTTTATCAGCTTCAACCACTTAGCTGGGGATCTTGTTCCACATCCCCAACACCAGGGTGGTAGTTTTTCTACTGTTCATCCCATGGTTCTGTAGTGTCATTCAGATCGCTCCTTTGCACACTCACAACCAGCCCGTGCAGAGGGAGAGATCAGCCTGACATCAGTCAGACTTTGGCCCAAACAGCACTGCTTTTCTCTGTTGTTTGTTCCAGCAGAACAACCGACATGCTCCAGACATTAATGACAAAACAACCTCATCTGAACCCTAACACGGAATTAAAGCCGTTGAGTACCCAGAATACATTACATGAATCAGCTAAAAAGCAAGAATTTTACACAAAGTTTAAACAATCTGGAGTGGATCAGCAATATAAAATTAGAGCTCCATTTGATCGAGAACGCGACACAAAGCTAACTATATAGTTGGCTTTCTACTACCGGCAGCGTTTAACTAAGACCTCATGACCGTCGCAAATTTCCCACA